TCAGCTTAGCATCAACATCATGGCAAGATGCTACCTTCCTACAGGCCTTCACTTACTGCTCTAGTTAATATTTAGGACACACCTACTGTCTCAGATACCTTCCTATGTGTTGATTTATTTAGTGCTCATACAACCAATAGAAAAGTGTGTTCTTCCCCCTGGGACAGTGAGACTCATGGAGACCATGGAATCACTATGGTTGATTGTTTGTTTGTTTGTTTGATTGATTGATTGATTGATTTAGATGATAACATTTGGCACAAGCTAGCTTAAAACCACAATACAAGTTAAGTGCCTCTGTTGTCATCTGACTTCAGATCAAGTTTCAGATCAAGTTTCAGATCAAGAAACCAAGAAACCCAGAGCAAAGTTATATCCCTTAAGGTTAACTGTAAACAAGAAAGTAGCAGAGGCAACATGGGTATCTGGTGTTGTCACTCCTGAGATCCCAACCCTAACCTTTTAACATACCCTTAACTTCTACCCTCTCCTTTAAGTTCTCTCTACCCCTTTCCATAACCTCTTTCAAATAGCTCCTGAACACGGCCTTCATTTACCAGCTAAGCTTCTGACTTCCCCCTTTTCTTTCTTTGTCATTTTCATGTCTCCTTTTTTATATAATCAGAGGAGAGAGCAGATGCATCCAGTTTCAATTTTAAAATAATTTAATGAAGAGACAATGTACAGACCTATAGAAAAAGGTAAAGTAGCTAATGTAAGTGAGGCAGATGCACAAAACCAAGTGGAATGACCCCTCTTCCAAAGCATGAAGACACCAAAGAAGGAAAATAAGAGTAGAGGACTTTGTAAGTGTCTACAATTCAACTTTCAGACCATGTTAGTAGCTATCAATGTATATCAATTTAGTGAATCGACATCACAGCTTAGATTCAGTTATAGGGAAGAACTGTAGAAGGAAAAAGTTTTAAAAAGCTCAATTGTACCTGATAGAAGAGACACCCCAAAAGGGACAGGAAAGGTTCCCCCTTTCTCTTCTAAGATATGCAAGCAACTAGCCTCCAGTTCTTCCCAACCCCTGGTCAGCAAGAGAATCAAACGAGCAAAGTTAAAATAATTTCTTGCTAGAAAGCAAGATTTCTCTCTCACATTTTTTTTTTAACATTTAGGCAGTCCTACCAGTTTTAATTAGCCTTTAATTACCCAATTCCTATGGGTTTTCTCACCAGATCTCAAGCACCGAAAGGATATTTTTGGAGTCATCAAGCATGTGGCATGGAAACTGGCTTTGAGCCTGTGACATTGAAAAGGACAGGGCCACAGAGGGACTATGGCAGTGGATGTCCCATGTTTCTATGTTAACAGATAGTGTTCTCTGGATTCTTCTCCAGAGATCAGCTAAAGCACAAATTAAATTACCTGAATTTCATCTCTTGAAAACAACATAAACTCTGAAGGGCAGCAATACAGGATCTATTTTTCTTCTGTCTTGCTAAACCCTTCCTTCCATTAGTTACAAACCACCCTCAAGCACAAAGAACACTGGTTATAAAAAGAGTGAGACAACTATTTTGAGGTCTTT